TTGTAAATTGTAAGCCTATTGAAGTCTATGGCGGTTCGCTCGGTTCGCCCGTTCGCGAACATTTGCGGAAGTTCGCGTTTGCCGTTCGCGAACCGAAAATGTTATGTTCGCTACATCACTAGTTACTGCAAAAGAACACCTCAATATGTGTTCAGCAATATCTCCTGAGTACAGTGACAGCACCTATGCATAGGTTTGTTGGGTTGTTTGGGGGGTGCAAAACGTCTGACGTGTATTTCAAATTTTACATATCTTCTTTGCCTATCTTCTTTTTGGGGGCCTTTTCAGATATCCCAATTTATTTTCTTTCCATGAACATGCATATATTTGAAAAGTTGACTCCCCACCATATTGTATATGGAGTGTTTTGATGCCTTTGATGCAATCATTTAAGTCAAAAAATTGGAGAAAGTGTGTAGTGGTAATTTTTCAATTTTCCTTTTTACACACTGTGGCGAAACCAACCTCACCACTGTACACTAGAGAAGCCTGGTTGCTCGTATGCTGCCTTTGGACTATGGCCCCATGTTAAAGGACATATTTTTTCCTGCAGAAAATACTTATTTGTGCTTTTCTGCCGGGTGTTCGGTAGATTTTTTGAGTGTGTTGTGCCCCAGATAGGAATCCCATGGAGCCCATTCACATGAAACTGACTGTGTAAAGACTTTGGCTCCATGGCGATTAAACTGTATTCGTGTGGTCTGAGCGCCATTCGCTTAATAATGTGCGCACAGACCTGAGCTATCTGGGGATATGTAGAACGTATATGTTTTATGTACTGAATGTAACTGTAGGTAATTTTATGTGTTTTACTGTTTGTTTTCTGCCATGTGGTTAATGGAGTTTTGCCTCTGTCTTTGGAGATAATTGAATTACTTCTCAATTATCTCCAGAGCAGAGAGGAGGGATTGTGATGCATTGTGGGATGGTTGAAATGTGTAAGTCTGTGATTGGTCCTTTTACCCTTTGTGTCCCAGTCTCCCATTTGGTCCCCTAGGTCAGTGTCCACCAGGTGGGAGACCTGCATAAAAGCCAGGCAGTTAGCCCCAGTAAATCAGTTCCTGCTTAACCCTCAAAGTGAAGTGTCGTCTCATTATTGGGGGAGGATTTACTGTATGCTGTTAGAGACTGATTGCCAGGAGTGTAAGCCGCTTGGGGGCTTTTCCTGTTCGTCTGCTAGCAGCTATTCGTGTGTCTCCAGTTCGGGAGTTTCGAGTATTCCCTTGGTATGCAGTTCGGGAGTTGCTGAATTTGTGGGTTTGCAGTTCAGGAGATTGGTGCTTGCAGTAGCTGTCGGTGCAGCTGAAAAAGGGGAATATCGCCTAAACGGTTTTTAACCTCTTTTGGGCAAAACGGTCCGTTACACACACACACATTGCTTTTTGACTGTGATTTAGGAGAGCCTGTTGTTGGTTATTGCAAAAAAATACTTCAGGTTGTTTGCTGCAAGGCCTCATTAGTACACCAATTCCCCCCATGCATTGGTTTGCCAGGATTTTGGGAAGGTCCATGTGACGAGAGTAATCTCGCCACATTGCATTGGAGAAGGATGGTTGCTCGCCTGCTGCCTTTGTACTATGGCCCCATGTTAAAAGACTTTGTTTCGCCTGCAGAAAAGCTTTATTCATGCTTTTCTGACGGGTGTTCGGTAGATTCAATCTACCGAACAACCACACAAATGAATAGACCACCTGGGAGCTAGAGTGTGCCGGCAATTAACCTCCCTGAAGCTGCGGTTAACCGCAGCTTAATTGACGAATGCTGGGTGGCCGCCATTCGTATCCCGAACACGAGGTCGCGGCCATTTTAAACATGCGAATGCACAGCGGTGTTCGACGCTTAATTCATGGAACTGAAATCGGACACCGCTGAACGTTTTGCGCGAACACCGCCGAAGCCGCCGACCTCCCTTCTTGTTCGTTGGAAGTACACGAACGGTCGGTGTTCGGTAGTTTTACTGGAATGTGTTATACCCCAGATAGGAATCCCATGGAGCCCATTCGCATGAAACTGGCTGTGTAAAGACTTTAGCTCCATGGCGATTAAACTGTATTTGTGTGGTCTGAGCGCCATTCGCTTAATAATGTGCACTCAGACCTGAGCTATCTGGGGACATGTTAAATGTATAAGTTTATTGTAATGTGTCTTACATAGTGTATTTTAACAGTAATTCGTGTTTTAGTATCCCCACGTGCATAATGGTGATTTGCCTTTGTCTTGGGAGATAATTAAATTACTTCTCAATTATCTCCAAGGCAGAGGGGAGGAAGTCAGGATGCATTGTGGGAATATACTGTGACTGTGTGTCATATTTGTCAACTTGTCTGTCTTTTGTCACAGTCTCCCATTTGGTCACCTAGGGGAGTGTCCACCAGGTGGGAGACCTGCATAAATACTGGGCAGGTAGCCCTCATTAAACCAGACCACTGCTTGACCCTCAACACGGAGCTCTGTCTCGTCTTTGAGGGGATTTACTGAATGCTGATAGAGACTGATTGCTAGGAGTGTAAGCCGCTTGGATGCTTTTCCTATTCGTCTGCTAGCAGTGATTCGTATGGTTCCAGTTCGTGTGTTTGGAGTGCTATATTGGATGCCGTTCGGGAGTTTGGAGCATTCACTTATTGGCGGTTCGTGTGTTTGGTGTTCTACAATAGCTGTGCCTGCATCTCTGGAAAGGGGGACGATCGCCTAAACGGTTTTTACCCCTTGTGTGCAAAACGGTCCGTTACAGTCCAGTTACAATTGTATGACTTGTGATTTGATGTGAAATTGAGAGTATTTCTTCTGATAGGCCTATCTTTAGCTTGGGGCTTATCACATACCCCAGTTTTATTTATTGCCATAAAAGTGTATAAATTTGAAATGTAGACACCCCAATGTATTGTATACATGCTTTGATGCAACTTGTAACGGCACCCTCAGCATCAAATAGACAAACCACCGTTTAGTGAATCCTCCCCTCTCACCATAACGCAAGCTTCATTCATATCAACTGTAATCATATGAGTTGCAAGCAGGGGAACGCTCCAATCTCCCGAACGGGACCCGTACGGGTACTTCACTTCCCGATCTCCAAACTCACGAATCACCGCTAGTAGCCAAACTCCTATATCTCCCAAGCGGCTAATATTCCCATCCGGCAGTCTCTATTCGTCGGTAATAAATCCCCCCAATAACGAGACCAAGCTCCGCATTGAGGGTAAAACATGAACTGGGTTTACTGTGGGCTACCCGCCCGTATTTATGCAGGTCTCCCACTTGGTGGACACTCCCCTAGGGGACCAAATGGGAGACTGTAATGACAGATGGAAATACAGCATTTCAGGACACACAGGCACATAATATTCCCAGCATGCATCATTGTTTCCTCCCCTCTGCCCTGGAGATAATTGAGAAGTAATTCAATTATATCCCAGAACAGAGGCAAATCGCCATTTTAGATATAACCCAAAAAACACATAAAAATACATAACTTTACAATTGCCGAACATTTCTCATTCGTGTAACACATCCCCAGATAGCCTGCATCTGAGTGCATATTATTGGTGAATAGCGCTCAGATCCCATACGCATAGTTCAATCGCCATGGAGTCAAAGTCTATTACAGTCTTTCGGTATGCGATTGACTCCATGGGAAGGCTATCTGAGTGCCTTTCAAACTCCCGAACGGCCGGTGTTCGTATACTTTTGTCGAGTGAGAAGGGAGGTCGTTGGCTTTAGTGGTGTTCGGCGGAAAAAGTGTCTGTTTTCAGTTCCATAGAATCTGGGCCGAACACCGCTGGTCTTTCGCCTGTTTAGAATGGCCGCCACCTCATGGTCGACATACGAACGACGACCACCCTGCATTCGGTTTTAATTGAGAGGTGTCTGCGGTTAACCACAACGTTCTAATTGGGATCAAGAGGTTAACCAGCAGCACACTTCTCTTCTGGGTGGCCGTCCGTTCGGTAGTGTCTGTCCTGAATTTTTTTTCAGTACTGAAAGAATATTACCGACACTTTGCCATGTTACCTAAATTTAATTACTTGAAGCATAATATAATTCTATTCAATTGTAAACAAACATATTACACATATATAAGTCATAATCTTTAAATTACATAATATGTTTTATGTTTTTTGTGTGTACCTATTAAGAACATATTGCTCTGTTGCAGATCTATACCTTCAGGGTTCTTCACTTGAATAATTGGTACATATATTAAATTGGCAGGTTTTCTAAATGAATTATTACTAAATTTAAAATGTTAAGTCAGAATAGCCATATTAGAATTATTTTCCTAATCAGTTTTGTTTTCAGTTTGGCTATTTTTTTGTGAAAATTGAAATTCACTTTGAATTCACTATGAATTTCTGATAATTCACACTTTAGTGTAGTTTTGTTTCTAATACTTTACTGGGTAGATAATATATAGATATAATCCACTAAAGGCTGAATTTTTTTTTATAATTTATTTTTGTGGTGCAGAGACATGCATACAGGCTTGTACTGGCATAACAGAGAAGGCATACTTGACAATGTAGATAAATCGGCTATGTCAGAGATTACTGCATGCAATTTAAAAAAAAAAGTATAACAAGTAATATAATCAACCTGTCACAGAGTGAAAACTAAGTTAGTAAAGCAGGAACTTGCTTGACAACAGGATTAGTAGTTGCTAAACTAGTGAGATGAAAAGGTATGTCAGTAGTAGTGTGATAAAGGAAAAAGTTAGGCAGGCATCATCAACTGACATTTTGCAGGTTAGGATGTACCACTGGGCATAAAAATAGACTGTGAAAAAGCGGTCAGCATATAGCATGTTATACTATGGTGGTAACTAGCTTAGCCTATGCCTGATGCATAATGCTTAGTGATCCAGAGAAAGATCCCAGGTGCCCCACTGAACTGTGCCAATGCAGCCCCTAGCTGAGTTACAGACCACTATACCCATGTCGCAAGTCTCTATTCGAGTCACTGGTTGGGCTTGATCTCGTGGCCTGGTTCCAGGTTTCTGTATATTATGGTGAGTAGGAGCCTTCTGTGAGGTGTGAGCGGTGGGTCAGGGAGTGTCCCATGATGGATCGTGGCCAAGGTAGGTGATGGAACACAGCAGCACCGGACCTCCGCTTCCCCACTGTCAGCATTACATCAGGGTCTTGCCCAGTGGGTCTCAGCTTGGTGTTGCCTTGCTGTTGATCTTGTGGGACCGAAGCTGCAGTGGTAGGCCTCTCCACTCGTTGGTGGGTCCCGTCAGGTAAAGTGGTAGCATGGGAGTTGCAGGCTACTCGAATCCAGAAATCTTGGCACAGCTCATTAAATCTGGCCTCGAATCTCTGCACCCAGTCCTGGATGCCTGGGTCCACTTGATGTAATGTATGACCCAGCATTGTGGCTATCTTGAACTCACCAAAAGGTTTCTTGAACACCGAGCTCAAGATGTCCACTACAGAGTAGTGAGTATACCTAGTGGGGTATACACACAGTGGGGTGTGACGGGGCATCAGTAAATTCCCTGTAGACTGCGCAACACCGAGCGGGAGATCAGCCGCCTCTCCCAGCTGTTAGGTTGGCAATCCTGGAACGCTGCAGAGCCAAATGGCAGATTATGTGTGCAGGAATGATAATTTCTGGGCTGTCAGTGTCCCCCTTCAGTCAGGATGCTTGCTCTGCATAATTCTGAGCCTTTTGCTATCTCAAAAATGCAATTTTAGCTAGTTTAATGCTTGCTCAGGTAGGAGCTTCTATCTTGCCATCATGAGAATCAGGCCCCGCCACCCAATTTTTTTTTTTAAATTCAATGTGAATTTAAAATTGTATCCCACCTGCCCAGAAGGGAAAGTATCCATGGATAACTCTGGCAAAAAGGCACCACATGTCTATATTTTGAATTTGAGTGCATGCAAGACTTTCTTTTTCCAAAATTACAGTGAATTTAGTAAATAATAGATTTAAAAAAAATGTTAATGAAACAAAAAAAAAAATACATGGTATGATTACTTTCCTCAGCACCATGTTCATGTAAAAACAAACAGGTAGAACATCAGGATTATTTACTAAACTGAGCATTAAAAGTTAATTTGATATATAAGACCAAAACAGTCAAACTGAAAACATAGCTGATTTTGATTTTTTTTTTCTAGTATGTTTACTTTCACCCTAAATTTGAAATCAATAAATAACCCTACGTTTTAGAATAGGATCTATTATTGTAATGTTGTCATCCTTGCAATTCTTTCCTACAATAGTGCACAGATCACCCCTATGCAATCTGAAAGCCAACCACTATTTAAATATGAATATATTTTTTTAAATATAAATAAGGCTAATCAAATTTGCTTGCATAACAGGGTTTTTTGGGTCTAAAAATAAACATACAAACTCTTTGACTCCATAAAATGTACTTTTGAAAAGAGGCATATAGATAATTATAATATAATATTTCACATTTATTTGGTAAAACAAATGTAAACATAATTAATTGTAGGGTAGATTCTCATAAAACATACACAGTGTTATTTACTAAAGTGACTTTAAAATAAATTCAAAGTGAATTATTATATGTAAGTCCCAAGTAGTGAAACTGGAAGCATAGATGACGTGGAGAAGAAGGTTTTCAGTTTGGCTATTTTGGTCTAAATTTGCTGATAGCAGAGCAAAGGTTTTTATTTTGTCTGTCCATAATTAAACCCAATTTGGTCTCTATCCTCTGCAGACAGTTCCCTTGTCCTTAATGGCTTGGTTTTTGCTCAGATATGCATTTTCAGCTGTGAGATCCTTTATGGACAGGGTATGCCTTTCCAAATCATGTCCCATAAATTGAGTTTGCTCTGGTGGTCACTTAATAATGTATAAAAACCATCTAAAAAATCCTCTAGACCAATGGTATGCATCTGAGCTTAAAGGAACTGTTTAGGCAAAAAAAATGGATATCTTTTTTTCCCCCTAACAGTAAACCTACTATCACTAACTGCTTTTTTCCTCTATAGTGTAAAAATATCTTTAAAGTACCTCTTTATATCTTTACTTTAATCAGATTTTTCTCTCCTCGTGTACCTGCATGTCATATCTCACCAGTGGCCATGCTCTATGAGAATCAGTAATGACACACCCACAATGTCTGCCCAAGAAGAACTCAACCTAAGTTACACTACAAATACAGCACTCAGAAACTAGAACTTACATACCACATCACACAAACAACATTTCCTTTGTGATATATTTTTTTCCTTTTTAAAAAGTTTTTTTTTTTTTAAGTTTTAAAGTTAAGTTTGAAGTTTAAAAAAAATAGAATTTTTTTCTTTGTCATTAAAAGGTATTGAATGTAGGTTGTTGTGAAAACAAATATGTACTATATATAAAACTGCTCTTTGGTTTTGCAATAGTTTTGGGAAACCCAGCCCCCCCTTAGCCGTTGACTGTTGGAGAAGCCTGGTGGCTACCCTAATTCTTTTTCCCTGCCATACTAAACACGTAAATATATGTGTTAGATTTTTCAAATATAGTTTCAGCAGTGGTAATTGTAGGGTTCTGAACAACTATTGAATTTTTAAGTAGGAGAGTCATTTTTATAGTTGCTATGCTGCCTGTCCAGGATAAGAATTTCCAGCCCCATTATTTCAGTGTATCAATTATAGTTTTAATCATGGGTACATCGTTTGCTTGGTATAAGTCCAACAGGTTCTTGGTTATTCTCAAGCCCAAAACCTCGAAATTGTCCTCTCGCCAGTCCAGAGGGAAAGCCTCTAACAGCCTCCATAAAGAGGATTGTGTATTTACAGCTTGATTTTTGATGTTATGTGATGTTAAGACAAATAATAGATTCAAATGAGTGGCCGTGACATGTGATTCTCTATCTAAAACCTAGAGAGGTAAGAGCATTCTATTCTCTCCTTCATCTCTGCTTCATTCCCACCTTGTTTGATTGCTATCTCCTGTTCTATTGTGTTGGTCCGATGAACGAATACCTCAGTATGAGGATGGGTGTAGGCCTTGCATGACTGAATTACAAATATACAATAATATGTCACAGACAGCCAGTTGATCTATCCCTAATGAATGTAGAGGAATAGAAACATAATGAATTGATAGAAAGGATGTTGGAACGTACGTATCTTGCACAACTAGTGTGTGATTGAAATTGAGAAAGGAATATGATAGAGGAACCTAAAGACACAATGGAAACATTAATGGAAATATGTTCAGTATGGCTTAAGTGCTTATTGAGGTAAGGGTATAAAGTACCTGTGTTGTGGTTTAGGATTAAAACATTAGCAGGATGATAAGTAGGGGTAGCAGAAACCTAGATAATAATAGAACTTATGATTGTCAATATGGATATTAAAGAGATACCTAGCAGTGCAGTTTCTAATCATGAGCTCCCACTGTGTGTCCTTCCACAAGAAGGACCTGAAGTATGTACAAGAAGGATCGGAACATCTCTAGTTTGCTAGCAGGAAGCAAAATATATAAGATCTAGTAAGTGCCTGTGACAGGTATTATGGATTATATAAGGCTTAGGTAAAACTGTGACAGACTGTGAAGGCCTGAATATGGTTAACTGTGTAATTAGTGGTTCTTGGTTCTCAGGAGTGCTGAGAGAAGGTTGTAAAGGAGGGAATTGAGTGGGCATAACAAGGCTGAAAGTAATAGTCAACCGCAGTATGACAGGGTTGTAGTTGACCCTGGAAATGTATGTAATTTCCCAAGTGTGTGGCAGAAATTGTGTCGTAATGAATTGCCCACAGAGGGCTGTATGTAACGTAGAGAGTTGAAGGGCTAGTGAGGGCCATGTGTAGAGGTATTGTAGCGGAAGGCCAATATTACCAAATGTAAGTCTCAAGCTGCCGGGTGTATAATAGGGTGTATGTAAATGTAACGGACCGTTTCAGCACACAAGGGGTAAAAACCGTTTAGGCGATCGTCCCCCTTTCCAGAGATGCAGGCACAGCTACTGCAGAACACCAATCCGCCGAACAGGAAACCATATGAATGCTGTAAACAGCCGAATAGGAAAAACCATACGAATAGGTTTACACTCCTAGCAGTCAAACGGGAACAGCATACAATAAATCCCCCCAAGAACAAGACAAAGCTCTGTGTTGAGGGTCAAGCAGTGAACAGACAGAGCTGTGGGTTTATTGTGCTTATGTATACATTCTTACACACTAGTACCACCCACAGGGCCTTGGAACACAACCAATAAACACATACAATACACTCAGACACTCCCACACAAATTCCTCCCCTCTGCCTGTGATACAATTAACTTACACAATGGGTAATTTAATTAGCACAAGCAAAGAAGTACAATTTTTCCACATTATTCATAACTTGAAAAGTATGCATCACATTCACATAAAACTTACATTTTTCAGAATCAGCATATTCCAAATACAAACATATGTCAAAATCATACAAATTGGTCCAGTGGTTCAAAAGATAGATCGTAGTCCTTTGTGACCACAGGAAGCATGGCTTTTCTGCCCAAAACCAGTTCCACAGAGTCTTCTATCCTGGAGATAATTGTGAAGTAATCCAATTATCTCCAGTAAAATACAATAAAATACACAAGGTTACATTTATGACATAAAATACAGACATGCAACATATGCCCAGATAGCTTAGGTCTGAGCGCACATTATTACTGAATGGCGCTCAGAGCACACACATACAGTTCAATTGCCATGGAGCCAAAGTCTTTCCCATAGTCTTTCATTATACGAATGGGCTCAATGGCATAGCTATCTGGGGTATCACTGCTCAAACAGGGCAAGCACCAAATGACTTGGCTTTCTTGTCTTTGCAGGGGAAAATCAAGTCTTTTAACATGGGGCCATAATCCAAAGGCAACAGGCGAGCAACCAGGCTTCTCCAATGCAATGTGGCGAGATTGCTCTCGTCACAGTAAAGTAATGATTATGGCATTAAAAAATTTAGGTTAATTGTACCAAAGTTGTAGAAATGGACTGTGAATTGCGTATGGACAGTAGTGATGCTCTGGTATTCGATCTGGTTTTCCTTACTTATTTTTACACTGCGTGGTGTAATTAAAGGCAGTATAATAAGGAAATATGTAACCTCCATGCGTCAGGAAGGCCAAAATTAGGTTGTGGCTGTAAGCCCACCTGGGACCATATGAGGCTTATGCTCTGCATCATAACATGTATATAACCAACTTGAACAGTAAGAGACCCTAATGGTAGGACTGTTAATTTGAGATGATAATGATAAAACACTTGAGTAAGAGGGCACTGACCGTAGTGGGTTGTCCACTGAGGACCATATTAAGCATATGTTGTGGAAGGCCAAGTAAGGGGACTAATATAAATGTATATGTGTGCTGTCCTGCAGCTCTCATGGGGACTTAAACATGTTACCTTTCTTTTATTTTTTTACATGAAAGGTTGTGCATTTTTTTTTTAACATGTATGCTGTTACAACTATATTAATAAGTATACATATTG